TAGAAACAGCTACCAATAAGCAGAGTTGTGCAGAATGAACAAAATTTGTGAATCAACACATTTGGCCATTGCTAATTACTAAAAGCTTTTTAATGGGTTACTGCATTTTGCAAAGTGAAAGATCATCTTACTACTATTTTATGCACATCTATGGCAAAGGACTACATTCATATCAGTGTCACTATTTAAATTCAATCACTAAGTCTTTGAGCTAGGACTAATATATAGTTCCTGGAGAATTTTCTACACTTAACCTTGCTGTGAACACATGAGGTATTGAGGTAGGTAGAATGCCTTCCCTAAATATGTCCATCTTCAAAACCTGTGAGTATGGTCCTTGATAGGGCAAAAGAGAATTTGCAGATGTGATTAAGTATTTTGACACGAGATCATCCTGGGTTATGGAGGTGGGTCCAATGTAATCACAAAGGTCTTTATAAGAGGGAGGCATGAAAAAATCAGTCAGAGAAGGAGCCGTGACCGTGGAAATAGAGGTTGGAGTGATGCTGTCACGAACCAAAGAATATGGACAGACTTTGGAAGATAAATAAAAGGCAAGGATCATAGAGGTAGGCTGCCCAGTGCAGTAGCCCCTGGGCAACATGTGGCTTTGTGCACTTGAAATGGGACTCATCCAGGGGCGCCTGGGTGGCGCGGTCGGTTAAACGTCCGACTTCAGCCAGGTCACGATCTCGCGGTCCGTGAGTTCGAGCTCCGCGTCGGGCTCTGGGCTGACGGCTCAGAGCCTGGAGCCTGTTTCCGATTCTGTGTCTCCCTCTCTCTCTGCCCCTCCCTCGTTCATGCTCTGTCTCTCTCTGTCCCAAAAATAAATAAACGTTGAAAAAAAAAATTTTTTTAATAAAAAAAAAAAAAAAAAAAAAAAAAAAATGTGACTCATCCAGACTGGGATACACTAAATGTGTGAAATATGTAGTGGATTTAGAAAATGTAAGATAAAACCAGAATATAAAATACCTCAATATTTTTATACTAATTATATATTGTCGAAAGGGTAATATTTTGTGTAGATTGACAGATAAATGAAATATGTTGTTAAGATGGAAAAAAAAAGATAGAGTGCAATGTCTAGATAGCTTTAATAAAATTATTCACAAAAATTTAAGTAATATGGTTAACATACATTTATAAAATTTGAAATAATAAATGTAACAGAAATCAATTATGTCATAATTTTAAGCTTTGTAGAATATCTCTGTTGGATGTAATATCTTGAAAAATGAAATAAATAAAAAATAAAAATAAAAATGAAATAAATCACTTGTTCTGTTACTTAACTTCCATTTAGGTTACAAATCTTTTAAGAGAAATTCTGCTTGGGCATTTTCCGCATCTTACATGGCAGAATTAACAGCAGAATATTGATCTTGCCAGGGTGCCTGGGTGGCTCCGCCGGTTGGGCGTCCGACTTCGGCTCAGGTCATGATCTCAGGGTCCGCGAGTTCGAGCCCCGCGTCGGGCTCTGTGCTGTGAGTTCCGAGCCTCCGATTCGGTGTCTCCCTCTCTCTCTGCCCCTCCCCCACTCACGCTCTGTCTCTCTCTCTATCAAAGAATGAATACACGTTAGAAAAAACTTTTTTAAAAAGAATATTGATTTTGCCACCTCAAAATGTCCTAAGGGAGCAAAATTCCAAAATCTTATTTAACAAAATTCATGGAAAATCATATTTGATACAGAAAGAAACTTTTCTTGTTGTTAAAGAGCATGGATACGAAGGGATTAGAGAAAAGGAAAGTGTTCAAAAATATCTCGTTCTCTATTCTCCCACAGTGAAAGGGAAGTTTGTATCCTATGAAAAAATAGCAGCATAGTGACCACAGCAGTAATGTGCCAACTGCTCTGTTAAGTAATCAGTGCTCCTATACTGTAGCCCTGTGTTACATTTACCTAATACGGTTTTAATATTAAATTGCTATGAGGAGTCCCTGGCTGGCTCAGCCTGTGAAGCATGCAGCTCTTGATCTCAGGGTTGTGAGTTTGAGCCCCGCATCGGGGGTAGGTGTTACTTTAAAAAATGAAATCTTTTCCAAAACATTACCATGAAAATTCCCCTCAGGCACCATTTTTATTATTATGTTTATATCCCAGAAGGTTATTCTGTGATGAAAACTCAAGCCAAATATTGATTTTGTTTTAAACGTTTGCCATGTATCATTGAGCCAAAAATGTGTACCTGCAAATAAATATGTATAAAGGGAGTCAGTACCTCATGCATTAGAGGAAGGAAAAACTAGAAGTTATTTGTGCCTGGTTTATAAATTATGGAAAAGTTTAAACAGTAGAGTTAGTTAGATAGATACCCAAATACAATGATGAATATAACAGTAATTTTTAAAACATGAAAGTTTTGGGGCGCCTGGGTGGCGCAGTCGGTTGAGCCTCCGACTTCAGCCAGGTCCGCGACTGGCAGCGGTCATTGAGTTAAGTTAGAGGAGGAGAGCCCCGTGTCAGGCTCTGAGCTGATGGCTCAGAAAACTGCCTGAGCCTGCTGTTGATTCGTTCTCCCTCTCTCTGCCCTCCCCCCGTTCATGCTCTGTTCTTCTCCAAAAAATAAATAAACGTTGAAAAAGAAAAAAAAAAATAAAATTAAAAAAAAAATAAAACATGAAAGTTTTTTAAAACATGAAAGCAGGTATGATCTTATTTGACAAAAAATGAATAAACAATCTATTATATAAACTCCACCTCTATAAGCTTGGAAAATGTCTCAAAGTATATATAAGAAAATCTCAGGAATACTCATGATGAGCTCAGTCAGTTAAGCACCGACTTACTTGGCTCATGGGTCTCCTAGTTGTTTGTGGGTTACGATCCCAGTGATCGGCGGCTCTGTGCTGTTGCTTTGACAGCGAGCTGGAGACCACTAGTTATTCTGTGTCTCCCTCTCTCTCTGGCCCTCTCCCCAGCTCGCGTTCATTCTCACCCTGTCTCTCAAAAATTCAAATTTAAGTAATTAGGGTTTAGGCTGACAGAGTGGGACAGTCAAGGTTAGTCCGACTTCAGCCAGGTTCAGGTCCGCACATCAAGGTTGATCCGTGAGTTAGCCCTTCTGGCTGTCAGGGCTCTGGGCTGGTGGCCTTTGAGGCCTGGAGCCTTTTCCGATCTGTGTCTCCCTCTCTCTCCTGCCCTCCCCCTGTTCATTGTACTCTGTCTCTCTGTCCCAAAAATAAAAAAATAAAAACGTTGAAAAAAAAAAAAATTAAATTAGATAAAAAAAAAAAAAGGAACAAATCATCAAGCATGGTCGACTTTAGAAGGACACACCAAGGACAGATGGGAGGTCTTTTACTTGCCATATTCTTCTCATACTGTTAACCATAAAAATATTACTTTTATAATTTGGAAAAAGTGATAAAACAAAGGATCAAAACATATACATATTTTGGCTGGTAAGATGCTAATCATTAACTATTAATATTCATTAATTGCATGTTCATAAAATTATTAACACATAATTGTCTATTGACATTAGTTAATGCTGATTGATCATGATTAATAAATAATTGACTGTAGTCATTATGATTCATCATTTAATAATTCATTTAACTCAACCATTGTATAATTTCTTTGTGTAGGTCAAAAGTCATTTGCTGATAAGACACATGTTAAACATGCATATATTTTATAATATGGACATGTATAATTTTTAAACATTCTTTAATAAATCTATATAACTGTAAAATGGAAGATGCAGAGGAAGTTGAACAATACATTGAAACAACAAAAAGTCCCTTTGAGAACAAGGATGTTCTCTAACATGTGAAAACTGTGTGAGTCATTGTTGTGGGAATTACCAAGTCATATATATGTTACTAACGCCTCCTGACACCTGTGAATTTTAATCAGTAGAGGCCAGCTGGATCTTGTTCCAAAGTATTTTTAAGGAATAGAGTGGAAAATTACTATCAGTAACTAACCATCCAGAGAAAGCTGCATTATATTTTAATGTCTAATTGACATTGCTTCTTCTGACATTCAAATTCATTTCTCTTATATAGGTCACATTATAAAACAAAAACTCCCAAAGAATTAGGAAGAATAGAAGGAGATTACCCACTGAGTCTCGAAGGTGGCAGAAGCTGTGTTGTAACGGAAGGAACAAGGAACGGAGCTGAATTGCAAAGTAGTCATATCATGTAAGGCGTGGGGGGGGTTCAACTGGGGCAGAGATAGGAGATTGCTTTAACAAAAGGGCTATAAACCCACAATGCGACATATTCGGCCCAACATGAAGCCAGAATGCTCCAGCGTTGCAAGCAAATGAGGAAGAAACCCACCTGAGCTATGAAAAGAAACTCACATGGAGTTATAAATGCCTCTATTATGTGCCTAGCTGTGTGCCGAGTGCAAAGATTTGGTTTTGTCCTCTTTCCCGCCGACAGATGTGTGACCGTAAGGCTCAGAAGTAAAATGGGAGTGCAGAGGCGGGCCCCGCAAATATCAGAGACAAACTGAGGCATGAGTGGGGAGGCCTGGAAGAAAGTAGCGGATTTTTTTTTTTTTTTTTTTTTTTTTTTTTTTAAATAGGCATCACATCCAGCACAGAGCCCAGTGCGGGGCTTGAACTCACCTCCCTGAGATCGAGCCCTGAGCTGAGATCAAGAGTCGGATGCTTAACCGACTGAGCCCCCCGGGGGGGCCCCAGACAGAGAGATTTTATCCACCCAAAGAAAACAGTATTTTTAAGCCCCTGATGTTTCCCCTCGGTCAGCCCATTTCTGTTGGTACTTACCACTATCATCATTTCCCCACTTTGTTGTTTCCTTAAGTGAGGAGACTCGTTGCCCGGTAAACTCCCTTGTCCTCCTTATGCAAGAAAGGAAACCCTGACTGAAACACAAAGCCGCAGAACAAATTAATATTATTATGCCTTCGGGCTGAACTTCCTTAAAAAAAAAAAAAAAAAAAAAAAACAGAAATGGATTCATTTTCCTTAGATCTTAGCAACAAAATAGTACTGGACTCAGAAACTGATGAGAGAAGGAGAGAGAGAGAGAGAGAGAGAGAGAGAGAATGAATTCATCCCAACCATCTACATCACAAGGCACAGGTAAAATTTGCAACTCTCCCTTTCTTTCATAGATCTTTTTTTGGGGGGAAGCGGTGATAAATATGCTGAGGGGATAGGACTCTAGAAATGTCTCCACTAAAGTAAAAGAAGGGAGACAGAGACAGAATGCAAGGGGGGAAACAGGCAGTGGTTAGGAGACGCTATGTTGTACTGAGGGTTGCTGGGCTGGGTTTTGGGGAGAACTGAACCAGACTGCTGTTCCCACCCTTTCACTGTGTTGCATTGGGCAAGCCACCTCCCTTCTCTGGAACTCACTTTCCCTGTGTGTAAAATGTTTATCGGGTGGGAGGGGGAGAGGAACTATAAGAACATTGCTCACGTTTTATATGAATTGGTTTACAAAGGGCTTGGGAAATGAGACACCAGAAAGAGGAGGGCAGGAGAGAGATTAAAAAAAAACAAAACAGAGAGGGTGAGAGAAAGGGAAAGACAAAGATAGGAAAAGAAGACGGAAAGCCTGAGAGACTTAAGAAGGAAAAATAGCACATCTGTCTCAGTTCATGAGTCTTAAGATCAGCAATGGCTTATTCTAGCGGTTCTAAAAGCTGGTTCCCAGACCAGGAACTTGCTGACTGCATAGCAGCTCTAATGAATTGTTAACTCTAGAAGTGAGGCCCCATCATCGGTGTTTAAACAAACTCTCCAGGGGCGCCTGGGTGGCGCAGTCGGTTAAGCGTCCGACTTCGGCTCAGGTCACGATCTCGCGGTCCGTGAGTTCGAGCCCCGCGTCGGGCTCTGGGCTGATGGCTCAGAGCCTGGAGCCTGTTTCCGATTCTGTGTCTCTCTCTCTCTCTGCCCCTCCCCTGTTCATGCTTTGTCTCTCTCTGTCCCAAAAATAAATAAACGTTGAAAAAAAAAAAATTTAAACAAACTCTCCAAATGATTCTGAGGCATGCTGAAGTCTAAGAATTACTCCATATAGACAGCGCAAGTGGAAGGAGATAAGTAAGGTTGAATAAGAATGTCTTTTGTATCTTGCTTTGGGAAGATTGACCATGTTTGCATATTTCTTTCTACAGAGAAAGGACACTTCTCTTCCCAAAGGCTCTTATGGACTGTTGCTGGGGTCTCCATTCTACTGCTCAGTGTCTGTTTTATCACCAGATGTGTTGGTGAGTTCTAAAGGTCAAGTTTAATCTCCCTGGTGAATATTAAGAGTAAAATCTTTCTTCTTGCCTGTGGGTTCTCTTCTCCCCCAAAGGGTATTTCTGTTCCACTTTCTTCCCTGTTTATCTCCAGGTTATTCCTCAACTAGAACCCCAACTAGTACAGAACGGTTACCAAATTGCAGTGACCTCTGACATATTTTTCATGATAGACATTTTTCATCTCCTTGGTGGCCTTGAGTCCTCGCCTTTGTACTTCTGTCATGAGTGTAAACTTCTCCACGGGAACCTAGCCAGAGACATGACAAACTGTGTTTTGGAACAAGGGTAGGGAGGGTGGGCATAAGAGAAAGTGAAAGCATATTTGTTTTCTCTGGGCCTTTGGACCTGAAGTAAAGCACATTCATCTTCATAAATCAGCAAAAACCATGAAATGTGAATCCTTTTTTCTTTGGGTAAGTAAATCTCGGTACCTCTCCGCATGGAAGGACAAATAGAGAGTAAAAAAAAAGATATCATGATGATTGCTGGTTCTTTTGTTACAAATACACACATGATAAACTTAATTTTTTATCAAGAATAACGAACATACACTCTGCCCCTTTCCTTACAGTGACGTATCATAGCTTTCAACTCTGTGATGAGAAAAAGTTCCAGCCATATGAGGATTTAACGGACTTCTCCTGCTACAGAGATGTATCGGGTATAATGGTCCTGAAATTTGAACATCAACATTTACATATTGCCACTTTTTGGCTTCTAGATTGATTTGGGGACAAGGAGTTGGATGGTGTCCTGTTTCTCAAAAACAAAATATAAAATCTTGCCTGTACTACCAGAGAATGATGAGGAACTGATAAGACAGGTCTAGGACTTTGAAAATGTGATTAGCATTGGACAGGAAATCCTGGGGACATCATAGCAAACTTTTAGAAGAAATTTGAGGTATGTCTGAACAGAAAATCTAGAAGCGGAAGGTATTATCTCCAGGAGTGCACTTTCTTTTCATTCCTCACTTGCTTCCCAATGAGGTGAAGAAGAAAAAATAGAGAGAGAATAGGGAATTTGGAGATATCTCAGAAATATACTCTCTACACTCTTATATATATAGTTTTGTTCTAAGTCTTAGCAAAATGCTACATGACGCTCCTCTGGAACTTAATTTCCTCACCATTAAATTGAGAAACACTGGACTATTTCTTTCTAATAAACTTCAAAGACTTACATTCTACAATTCTAAGAAGTTTAGCCACAACCAGTTTGGAGACTTTGTTGAGGGCACATTGCTTGGGCAACATGAGAGAGGGTTGCTTAGATAAAATGCATAACCTTCTCTCACCTTGGCATTCTAAGAATAGTTAATGAGGCTCTATATCAATAGCATAACAGAGATAGATTGTATGTATGACTGCATTTACTGGCAAGTTTAGAAAGTAAGGATTATATCTCAGGGTGCCTGGGTGGCTCAGTCAGTTAAGCATCTGACTTAGGCTCAGGTCATGATCTTATGGTTCATGGATTCGAGCCCTACATCAGGCTCTGTGCTGACAGCTCAGAGCCTAGAGCCTGCTTCGGATCCTGTGTCTCCCTCTCTTCCTGTCCCTTCCCCACTCATGTTCTGTCTCTTAAAAATAAATAAACGTTTGGGGCGCCTGGGTGGCTCAGTCGGTTAAGCGTCCGACTTCGGCTCAGGTCATGATCTCGCGGTCCGTGAGTTCGAGCCCCGCATCGGGCTCTGTGCTGACAGCTCAGAGCCTGGAGCCTGTTTCAGATTCTGTGTCTCCCTCTCTCTCTGACCCTCCCCCATTCATGCTCTGTCTCTCTCTATCTCAAAAATAAACGTTAAAAAAAAATTTTTTTTTAAATAAACGTTTAAAAAAATTTTTTTTAATTTAGAAAACAAGGGTTATGTCTCAAAAGACGAGACAATTGCTATTTGTGTTTACTGACATAGGAATTCTCTAAAGTCTTAGATAGTAGGTTGGGGAGCGGGCAAGGACAAGGGGCTCCAAGGTACCAGTCAGAAGACTGGTAATGATGAACTTCATGAGGCCAGATGAAGCTTTCTGTTTCCTTACTTAGTTGATATATGACACTCATGGAAACTTCTGTCCTCCTAGGTTCAGTCAAGAATTGTTGTCCGTCGAGCTGGATCCATTTTCAATCTAGCTGCTACTTATTTTCTACTAACACCATGTCCTGGGCATCAAGCGTAAAAAACTGCTCAAACATGGGAGCACATCTGGTTGTTATCAACACACAGGAGGAGCAGGTAGTTGGAGCACAGTCACCTCCAGTGTCAATGTAACATTCCTTCCAGGATCTATCCCTCTTTCCATATGTATATGCACTCTTTGGTCCAAAATTACTATTTGTTAAGTGAATGTATTAAAATGCATGCTGTTCCTACTATTTCTATAAGTCGATACCTACTCTAATTTATTGTCATCACTAGAAGAGCCTAAGGGGGGAGGAAAGGGGAATTTCCATGTTCAATGCCTTTCTTACGAAGGGAAAAAAAGAGGTGGGGGGGACGCTGACAGTTCATTTTAGAATGACTATTGTGTTGATGAATATATCAGATGATTATGTCAGATATGCCCAAGATATGTCTGTTATCTTTAAGCTGTGATTAATAATCTTTCATGCTGGATATCTAAGTAGCTTTTGCTACAAATAACAGTAGATCAGCTTTGAATGAGATATTAAGAAACTGCTTCTCTGTTAAAGATTCTCTTTTTGTTGGTTTAATTCTATGTTCCGTATATTTTTACCACAATAAAAAAAAAAATCAGGAGATACTCCTCCATGATCTTACGATTTCAGAGCCATTTATCTGTCACCTATAATCCACTTTACCTCTTTTAATAACAATTACCTTCAACATTTGTCCAAAATTGAAATGACTGATCTACTCTGTGTTTCTATCGTGTTGCTCCTCTAGGAATTTCTTTTCTACGCGAAACCGAAAAGGAGAGAGTTTTATATTGGACTGACAGACCAGGTGACTGAGGGTCAGTGGCAATGGGTAGATGGCACACCTTTCACAGAAGCTCTGAGGTAATTTCCTTCTTACAGGACAATTTTAACACTATCTCAAGTCCCAAAGTTAGACCATTGTTGAGGGGAGTTCTCAGAACCTCCTTCCATTCCATGAGATATTTTCAGGTCAATCCTTGGTGATTTTATGTGCTAGAAGATAGTCGAAGGAAGCACGAGGGTCTTGTGCTCTCGCTTCCTGAGACCATCTGAAGAATAAAGGGGAGATAACAGATGAACATGAGGAGGGAATCAGAATCGAAGACTAGTTCATCGGAAATGCAGCAGAGACAAAGAGTGAAATTCAGAGTCTTGTGCCCAAACTAGTAAATGATTTGAGGGTAGTGATTTGAGAAAGGAGATTTATGGAGTGAAAGTGGGGACTCCCTTGATAAGGTCTCTTTTCTCTTTGATAGTGACCTTACACCCTTAGAGCACAGCACATTGGAGTTTTCATGGGTTTGATCTCATTAATTATTTCATTTTACCTAAATTGCACCCTTCTGAGATACATCGATATTATTAATCTTCATTTAGCATTTGAGGAAACCAAAGGCTCAGTTCTAAGAGTACAGCTGCCATGCACTGAGACTCTGGAAAGTTGCTTCTCTACAGCACCGTAACACCACTAAAGTATGCACCTAGGTTAATACAAACTCGGTGCAGAATAAAGGGAACTAAACGTAAGATGAGACAAAAGCGTGAAGGAAACAAATTCATGAGCATCAGTGCTTCCCGTAACTTCTCATTATGGGTCTACAGCTGAGGAAGCTTGACAGACCAGAAAGTCAGGAATATCCAGCCGGGCTTTGCCACTCGCAAACTCTAAGACTTAGGACAAGTGGTTTGGTTTTTCCAGGATTCCTTTTCTTCAATAAAATGGAGGTTTAATGCCTAACTATAATGCCTAATGGAGGTTATAATGTGCAACAAAATTGTTGCGAGGGAGCACAACACAAATGCAACTGGTCTAGCATATGAGGTCACTTGGCTTCCTGTAGCTGGGATTTAAAATCTTCTGCACTTGCTCTCTTCCAGCTTCTGGGACGAAGGGGAGCCCAATAATATAGTTACAGTGGAGGACTGTGCTACCATACGAGACTCTTCAAATCCGAGGAAAAATTGGAATGACGTGCCCTGTTTCTTCAATGTGTTTCGGATTTGTGAAATGCCTGAAATAAGTGCTTTGAATAACAAAAAAATCTTCTGAGAACAGAAAGCACAACTGAAATGCATAAATACAGAGGCACAAGAGCATGAACACAACACCAACATGAGAAAACTGTGCACTGCACTTTATAAGGACTACCTACGGACTTCATAAGGACTTGTCGCTTTTGATATAAATAAACTAAGTAGTTTTGGGGCGCCTGGGTGGCTCAGTCGGTTAAGCATCTGACTTCGGCTCAGGTCATGATCTCGAGGTTCATGAGTTCGAGCCCCGCATCAGGTTCTGTGCTGACAGCTCAGAGCCTGGAGCCTGCTTCGGATTCTGTGTCTCCCTCTCTCTCTGCCCCTCCCCTGCTTGCACTCTGTCTCTGTCTCTCAAAAATAAATAAACATGAAAGAAAAATTTTTTTAAAAAGATTTTAAATAAAATAAGTAGTTTTGAACGATATAATTTATGATCCTGATTGACATGCATTTTTCTCTATATTAGTCTCAGGACTTCTCCCAATTTACCAAGCAATTCTCTAACAAATGCTGGGAAAAGTAAAGAATACTCCTGCTTTGTTTGTGAATATTTATATGAACATATAGAGACATACAGCAAGTACAGAGCCCAGCAAAGAAGAGGATTTTATTTTTCTTTTCTTTTCTTTTCTTTTACATTTTGTGTTTATTTTGTATGTCAAAGGTTAATTATATCAGAGGTGTAATTGTAATTCCAAATAACAAAGCCATATATCCATAAGTCAGATAAGGGGGACTAAGAATCCCATTAACTAATCCATTACATTAGCTAGTTATCATTAACCCAAGAGCTGGCCCAACGCTGACAAAGCTTAGAGCCAAGTAGTTGTCACAGAGATCAACTCAATGAACCAATTTATTTTTAAGATATAGACAAACTGTTGACTTTAAAACCTACCTCAGGGGCGCCTGGGTGGCGCAGTCGGTTGAGCGTCCGACTTCAGCCAGGTCACGATCTCGCGGTCCGTGAGTTCGAGCCCCGCGTCGGGCTCTGGGCTGATGGCTCAGAGCCTGGAGCCTGTTTCCGAGTCTGTGTCTCCCTCTCTCTCTGCCCCTCCCCCGTTCATGCTCTGTCTCTCTCTGTCCCAAAAATAAATTAAAAACGTTGGAAAAAAAAAAAAATTTTTTAAAACCTACCTCATTGGACTCACCTCTGTAGAAGCTATCCAATGCTATATTATTAAGTGGATATATATGAACTCTCCAAGAAATATACTAACGACTTTTATAAAATAGATCATAAATTTGCAATGAAGCAGAAACGCCTTTATATTTTCCTATAGGATAGCAAAACATTTCAGAATGCCAAAGGATTTATAATTTCATTCACATCCTGAGAAAAATAGCTCTACTAGGAATAAAACTCAATATAGATATAGAAGATTTCTTTTTTTTTTTTTTTTTTTTTTTTTTTTTTTTTTTTTTATTTAAATCCGAGTTAGTTACCATACAGTGTAATAATGATTTCAAAAATAGAATTTAATGATTCATCAGTTACATATAATATCCAGTGCTCATCCCAACAAGTGTCCTCCTTAATGCCCATCACCCACTTAGCCCATCCACCCCCAATACCCCGCCAGCAACCCTCAGTTTGTTCTCTGTATTTAAGAGTCTCTTACGGTTTGACTCCTCTGTTTTTCTGTTATTTTTGCTTCCCTTCCCCTATGGTCATCTGTTTTGTTTCTTAAATGTCACATATGAGTGAAATCATATATTTGTCTTTGACTGACTTATTTCCCTTAGCATAATACACTCTAGTTCTATCCACGCTGTTGCAAATGGCTCCTCTGGATAACTGAATCTCACTTGGATTTGTGGCTATTGCTCAGCTAGGGCCAGGGTCCAATAGCTAAATTGTTCTAAGAGAACATTCAGCTTGACAACTTTCTATCTCAAGCCTATCCACTACGTGCATAATATTTTAATCAATGCTGATATGGTTATTCAAGAATATTTAAATATCTTGGTACCTTGAATAACCACACTTCTTGCACACGGCACCACACAAAATTCATACACTGAAATTAATGTGTAATCATTAGATGGAAAATTCAACTGGGTAAGTGAATATAATACGTAGTAAAACCTTGGATTGCGAGTAACTTGTTCTGCAAGTGTTCCGCAAGACGAGCAAACATTTCTAATAAATATTAACTTGATAAAAGAGCAATGTCTTGCAACACAAGTAGTATGTGACACCGAATGTCATATGATCACAACTGAGCCAATGGTTCTTCTCTCTCTCTCTCTCTCTCTCTGGGATTGTGGGTGTTCATCTCCCATGTTCAGATGCTCAGTCTCAGACTGTGGTGTTTGGCAGAAAAATCAGTGATTTTTCAGAATGTTGGAAGATGCCCACAATAGGCACTAGTGTATTTTTTGTCACTTCAAAGCACCTATGGACAGTCCTCTGCTTTTCTATACAAAAGTAAACTTAGGAATGCTTTGCTTCATTCTAGGTCAGGCTGTCTGCCAATATAGACCCTTTCCTCTGCTGCCTTACTGCCAGTTACATTAAATACAGCATGTGACAAGAGTTTATCAATACTGTACCGAAGTCAACATCCATGCGAGTGTATACAATGGCCCCGATGCAGAAGATTTCATTGAGCCAATAGATAGCAGTGATTCCATTAATGATAGTGAAAGTCACCCTACACAATAACCCTCCTTCTCTTGTCTCCCTCACACCAGCCACGAAGGTTTTCAAAGGTAAGGGCAGGTTAATTTGTTTATTTTTCTTTATATTTTATATTTTCTTTGTTACTTTGTATTATATTACAGTATTGTAATCATTTTTATATGAATAGTTTGGGGTTGTGGGATGAATCATCTGAGTTTCCATGATTTCTTATGGGGAAATTCACTTTGATATACAAGTGCTTTGGATTACAAGCATGTTTCTGGAATGAATTATGCTCGCAAACCAAGGTTTATCTATATTAGTTTTCCTTAAACTGTTCTTTCCTCTTAGATATATGTGACAATATGTAGTTTTGTTGATTTTTATTGTATAAAGGAAATATTTTGTCACTCAAAAGTTATCTCAGATTATGATATACCAATATAATGAAACACTATTTACTTATATGGGGCAAGGTATAAATCATTTTCCAAACTATATTTTTAAGTAAAAAATGCAAGATATTTTCCCCCCAAAACCAAATAATCAATTTAAAAATGGGAAGAATGGGCGCTTGGGTGGCTCAGTCGGATAAGCGTCTGACTTCGGCTCAGGTCATGATCTCGTGGTTTGTGGGATTGAGCCCTGCATCAGGCTCTGTGCTGACAGCTCAGAGCCTGAAGCCTGCTTCAGATTCTGTGTCTCCCTCTATCTCTGCCCCTATTCTATTAATGTTGCTCTCTCTCTCTCTCAAAATAAATAAACATTGAAAATAAAATAAAATAAAAATGGGCAGAAGACATGAACAAACATTTCTCCAAAGGCATCCAGATGGCTAACAGACACGTGAAAAGATGCTCAACATCACTGAGCATCAGGGAAATGCAAATCAAAACCACAATGGGATACCACCTCATACCTGTGAGAATGGCTAAAATAAAAAAACACAAGAAACAAGTGTTGGGGAGGATGTGGAGAAAAAGGAACGCTCCTGTATTCATTAGGGGAAATGGAAACTGGTACAGCCACTGTGGAAGAAATATGGAGGTTCCTCAAAAAGTTAAAAATAGAACTGCCCTACGATCCAGTAATTGCACTATGAGGTATTTACTCCAAGGGTGGAAAAATACTAATTCAAAGGAATAAATGCACCGAATGTATATAGCAGCATTATCTACAATAGCCAAATTACGGAAGCTTAAAGAAGCCGTGTATACACAACAGAATATTATTCCATCATAAAAAAAAAAAATGAAATCTTGCCATTTGCAACATGGATGGAGCTACAGAGTATAATGCCAAGCGAAATAAGACCGAGAAAGACGAATACCACATGATCTCACTCATAGGTGGAATTTAAGAAACAAAACAAAGGAACAAAGGAAAAAAAGAGAGACAAACCAAGAAACAGACTCTTTAACTATAGAGAACAAACTGATGGTTACCAGAGGGGTGGTGGGTGGGGAAAAGGAGGAAATAGGTGACGGGGATCAAAGAATACACTTGTCATGATGAAAACAGACAAACAAACAAAAACCCCTTAGATTTGTGGGGAAAAAATTGTAAGATGTTTAAGGCAATGTAGATAATGTTGCTATTAGTATAAAAACAGTAGGTTATGTATGTATATATATTTATATAACACATATAAACATACATGGAAATACATATAAGAAACATAATCATATCTACTCTGAAGAGGCATTTAAGGGACTGAAGTTCGGGGTGGAAGATTTAACTGATACTTTTATTTACATTTTTACTGTTTGAGGTGCGTGTGTGTGTGTGTGTGTGTGTGTGTGTGTGTGTGGCAAACACACACACACACACATATACAGCAAACACAAAACCAATATTTAAATTTTTTAAGTGTTTCAAATTTCTAAGACTACCACAATGCCCTAAAAAATTTGCATTTATTTTTATGAAATTACTATCAGGTGTCTTAAAGAAATTATGAGGAATACAAGTGTCATGAGAGTTAGGAATAGATTGAAAGGGCCCGAGGGTGGAAATAGGGAGACCAATCAGAAGGCCATTGCAATAATCCGGGTAAGAGCGATGGTCTGTGGTGGTCACCACGGAGGTAATGAAAAATGATCAGACTGCGAGAAAAGAGATTAAGGATATAGATGCCGACACAGATGTATAAAACCACAGAGATCACATTTTATTGACAACTGAATCTCTACCTATATACGGTAGAGAAAGTGGATGATGTTAACTACACAAAGCCTTTTAGCATATACATAAAATTATTTCCACAAGTTTTGTAGATTTTGTGCTATGTAACTAGTGAATGGCAAACAATTGAAATCATTAGCACTCCTTCAGTTAAAAGTATCAGCTTTAAATGCAGACACACACACACACACACACACACACACACAATCAATCAAACACTAATCTTCCTAACGCAGAAAATCACTAAGTAATTTACAAAATAAATGCTGTTTTCAAAAATAGCTTTAAGGCAGTCAGGTTAAAAAGCCATTGCTTGGCCTGGATGGCCAAATCAGTTGAGTGGTTGAGCATCTGACTCTTGACTTTGGCTCAGGTCATGATTTCGCGTTTGTGAGATGGAGCCCCATATAGGGCTCTGTGCCG